CTACATTGAAATCCTGCCTATCAAGCAGACACACAAAGGTAGATGATTATCAGCTTTAGGACCTAGCTAACACATGCTGACTTCAAGTTTTCATCATCTCTTTTGCACTACTCTGCCATGTATTGGGAAATGCTCTGATTTTAATGAGACAAACATAAAAACTAATACTATCAAATCAGATAGTAATTTTTAATCCAGAAGGGTATACAGATGCTGTCAGGGATGCTAAAGGTGTGTGTAGCATCCTGTGTGTGTTCAAAATTGGCTTAAAAATAGTGTTAATAGAGCCAAAAATGGAGGCATTGGGAAAATGATGAGTAATTCAAAGTATGCTTTCCTGTTACTTCTCCCCACAGGCTTACTACTCCCTGACTTCCACAGAAGGTAAGTACAATTGCTTTCACTCCTTCAGTAAGAAAAATCAATGAAATTAAAGTCATTACTCCTAAGAAGGGTAAATATTAGCTTTCCAGCTTTCCCAGGAGCTATTAAATCTTCTTATGCTATGAGGCTAATTAAATTAACATGCAAAAAATTATTTTTGTTAGGCAAGTAACCCATGAAATATGAAGATTTTTTGCATAAATGTAGCTGAGGATTGACCTGGATTCAGAAGGTTCAGTAGTGCTCAGAAGGTAAGAAGCTCAATTTTTGTTTTCATTGCTGCTATACGACATGCTACATCTGAGAATATGTACTGTGAAACCAAAGGGCAAATGTAAAAACATGACAAAAAACAGATTATTCAGGACTGAATTGAGATTTTACTCGATGAAGACACGAAATTAAAGGTTTAGAAAATAAGATTTAATAGGCAAGCAGACATTTAAATCAATGCCCAAATATTCATCCCTGTATATACAGAGTGAGAAAATTAACATATATATATAAAAAAGAAAACAAAAACATTTCTAAAATATTTTATAAATATCTAAAATCCAAGAAGTTAAAAATCTGTACTTCCTTATATGATATACAACATATTAAGTTGCCATATTTAACATTTCATAAAAGCAAGTTAATTCTTAACTCTTTATGGCTACATTTGTGATCTACATTCCTGAACTGAATTCCTGGTCTGAAGAATTCAAGATGTAAATAAGTAAGCATGACAGTGAAAAGAATTATAACAAAAGTGAGTCAGATGAACTAAACTATGCTTGGAGTATGTAGATCAGAACAACCAGAATGAAAAAAATGGCCCCTACCACTGAATAATAAAAAAAAGGCTTCAGAGAAGTGTGTTTTTTTACTAAATAAATACTGTTACTAGTGCTTACAGAATCAGAATAAGGTGATAACATCTTCCCATAACAGATTTTCTCACCTATCTCTTTGTTATTAGGATGCAAATGTTTGAACACTGTCACTGATCTAAAAACAACACTAATCTTTTTTCCTGCAAAATTACTCTTTTCAAAATTTTTTTACTTAAGAAAAGCTAAAAGTAATTAGCACAAAACAATTATTTATCTCTTTGATGATGTAAAAGGTGTTTGGCCATATTCCTGAAAATGAATTCCTTGGGATGCTGTGATCTTCATAACTTCTCCATTTAGAGTATCATCCTCAATTATTGTTATCAATCCCTCAGCAATTATTGATGGGCTGAAAAAAAAAAGTTATTTCAGATTAACGATATAATAGACCATGTAAGAAGGACAAGATACTCAATGTAAATCTATATATCTGAAAATTTTTAAAAAATTGGCATTTGAACAAATTTATTTTGAGGAAAAGCAGAGGTGTTTCAGAAGAGATATGTATTCTCCTTAATCAGGACATACATCTTAAGTGGCTACTTTGCAAATCATCACTTGTTTTTGCTCTAGTTTTTGATAAATGCCTGTAGACATCCAGCTGCCCCTGTGTTTCCTATCAAACTTTTCTCTGTCAGGGAACTGGACAGAAGTAATCCTTATACAATCCTCTGCAGCTCTTTGCTGTTAATTTATCCTGCTTCTGTAGCAGAACTGACATACAAATTAGCATAAAGGATAATTTCACATGCAGTTTGCTGTGGTCAATAGGTACAAAATATTTTACATAAAGTATGGGTGAAACAATACAGTCATACAATTTCCTTTGTGCAGAAGCATCTTGGAAGCTAACTGTTAGTAGCTAAGGAAGTGTTAAAAAATATCATTTTATGCTTATCATATTCTTAGTCTGTCAAAGCTGTCTACTTTTGGTCTTTGTTGGCAAGACTGTGATGGGCTGGGCAACTCTTTGATCTGATCAATGGTGGTTGCTATTGTGCTCTTAATCCAGTTGTGTCAGATCTTGGTCTGATTTCTATCTTGGTTCACATGAAAATTTTGGGAAATTTCAGTACAAATATATCTTACCTATATCTTAATATTATATTTTTATACCCAGCATCTTAGAATGGGTTTTATTAAACAAATTCATGAGGCAACACCAAATGCTATTAAAAATTAAAATCACTATATTGAATTTGCTAATTTGATTTGAACTTTGCTGGGAAATGGGAATACATAAAGGGATATATCTTACTCCATCACGCCGTAGAACTGCATCATATTTTTTATCTCATCCTTGTATGAAAAGTATTGTCCCATATTCTCTTCTTTATCTATTGACTGAAGAATTGGTGTGTTGACAAATCCTGGACAAATTGTGTTGAGTCTCACACCGTAGTTGTCCATACTAGCAGCTAACTAGAAAAGAGAAAGGGGTAGGCATTTGTCATCAGCATTTTAAGACTGAATTGTGTAAGCAAATTTTCAAAGAATGAGATTTGCCACAAAATAGTTTTCAGCCTTGCTAAGTAAGGAGATTTTGTTACTACTGATTTTCCTAACAATTAAGTTTGAAGCACATTTTCTCTAGTAATCATACTAGATTACTAGAAAAAACCCTAATTGCTTTTGTTAGGAGAACAATTCTACAAGAAATCAGAACTCTGTACATGAAGCTGGTTGTTCCATAATACTTTTTGTTCTTAGTGCTCTCTAGCATGTCATTAACAGTATTCTAGGGTGATGATACAACTCTTCCAAGCAAAAACAAGAAAAGGTTCTCCCAAATGTATGCTTCCAATCTTATAGGAACTTTTTTTTTTTATTAAAAGAAAACTTTGAAATTAATAAAATTATCTTTAAGATACTGTATTAAGATATGTTCCTCACATCAACAGAAATAGAATATGTTCTCTATCCCTACAACTGTAATGCTAAACCTTCCTACTTGTTCTATTTTCCCTGCCAAGGTATGAATCTATCTCTGAGCATCTCCACTGGAAAGTCCTGCGAACTGACACTTTTTTCCGGAAGCAGCTCGGGAACATGATGAAAGAAAGGAGCACAGGTTGTTCTGGGAGAGGTAGGACCCCTGGTCTGTGGCTCTGCCAAAGTGTGCACATAGCAAAGAGGTCTGACCCACATCCAGGAATGTCTTGAGTGCTGGATGAACTTAGCAATAGCACAGAACTGATGAACTATACATTATATATCAGAGAATAACCATAACTTTTAAACACTGGGTTCTATTTATTTTAATATTTAATAGACTTCTTTCAGGTATTATGTAAGTCACATATCATTTTCATGGTACGGTAGCCTGCTTTTTTGATCTGGGGAGACAAGAAACTGAAGTCCTAGATGTAAGGTAGAAAACCAGCCCAACATTAGGCTGTAGTGCCTTTCCTGGTAAATACTACTAAACATAGTAGTTCACTATGTTTATTATTCTTTTTTTCCTTGGCATTCTTGTGTTCCTTAAAGACAGCTAATTTACTTATTAAATTACTTATTACTTACTTATTAATCTAATTTACTTTTTCCCTTAGATGGTGATATTTATATTTATAATGAGAAAACAAAATTGGAAAATGAGGTGCCATGTACTTGATGTGTTTAATATAATATATGAAACACTTATCCACACTATAGAATATCTCTAAGATTAATCTATTAAAGTGTAATTGTTTTTTCTCTTTCCAAGTTGTTTTGTTACACTTTTTTGTTCAATTTAACTAGAAAGTTTTGGAGTTAGAGGCTGAGACTTATAATATGATCATCTTACATGCTCCATCCTGAATGTGCAATTTTTCATTTTCAGAGTATTAAGAATTGGTAAGAATAAATAATGATGTGTTCAAGTGACTTTTGTAAACTTTGGTGCCTATTTATCATAAAAAAAGTCATTGACCTGACTTAGAAATAAGGAAATCAAAATGTTAAATGAATGAGACAGGGTTCTGAAACAATATTTTTACAACTTGGATTAGAATTTGGCTTTTGGACTCCTTCTACCGTCCTCAAATTACTCTGCAACACTTTCTTCCATGTTCTCCAAACCTCAAATCGGTCATAAACACACAGATGCCGTACTTATTCCATCTCTGGATGATTCCCTTTGTGAAAGGAGGGAACCTCCACTGCTTCACACACTTTGCCTTCTTTCACAAAATTAGTTCCAGTTGTGTGGCTATAGAGCAGGAACATGAAAAACTTAAGCATGTTCCCGAGGAGCTGCTGACACCCTTTTGGAAAATGCATACTTACAGCTATGGACCGTGTGAATCCAATTACACCATGCTTTGTAGCACAGTACACAGGCTGGAATGCAGCAGGCATGAGTCCTTTAAAATAAAAAGGTAGCTGAATGAAGATGTCGTATATTCCTAATTTATGATCACCTTAAAGACATGTATAGGTCTACAGTGTAAAAAATTTGTGAACAGAGATGTAACAAAATGGATTAGTAGACATTTGTAAATTTTAATATGTAAGTATTTTGTAATCTGGTATAGGCTAAGAAAAAATTAGATGAATAAAAATATGAAGGCAAAAGAAGAGTAATTAAAAAGCATAACTTTAAAAAGGAGAAGTTGTATCTATGAAGTATGACTTAAAATAGAGGACACAATCTGGAAGAAAACACTCAAGAATGATATTTTTGAGGCATCTATGAATCAGTAAAGTATTTTAAGTATGTTGAGGATCACAGTATTTTAGATAGGCTTTGATTATCTAATGTGGGAACTGGACATCTGCAATCATTTACAGTGTGTTCAGGGAGGAAGTGTGAGAATAGGAGAAGCAAAATAAAAATTTTCTGCTAACACAGTAGACCTTTATGGTCTGAGTGGGAAAGAACAAAATTTTTATTTATAGGAGAGAAAGAAGAGAGAATGGAGGTTTTGGAAGAAAACTAAAAAGTTAATTCTGGTTGGTGGCAAAAAGCTAGTCAAGAAGAAATGACAGACCATGAATGCATATTCATTTCTCCCAATTATGCCAACAATTTATACAACAAAATCTGAACTGGACCAAAGAGATGCTGCAGTTCCACCTGAAATTCAGGCCCTTATGAATAGCAGACTTCAGCCTGTCTGAAAGCTAGGGGATAAAATATTTTCCTGAATGTGAATATTGTAAAACTGGATATTAATTTTAATGCCTTAATGCTTGATTATAATGGAAGTAATCCAAATTAATAACTCATATACTTTTATCTTTCATACTTCAGATCTTAGGGTGATACATTCAAGAAGGGCAGTGACTTACCCCAGTGGAGATGAAGAATTCACTATTTAGCTCTAAGTATGGATTTGCCAGAAAAATGATATATGCCAGACTTGCATTGGCTCTTTGCTCTGGAATCTATTTTGTCTGAAGGAAAGAACTCTCTAAGACAGCACAAAGCTCTAATCACCAACCTGACAGCTTCAAGGTTTTATCTTGATTTAAATGCTACCTTGATGATCCTGTGAAAGCAGCACTGTTCAATACTGGGAAATGACCAGCTTAACCTACTGTCTGGCTGTTCTTTTAAAATTGTATTTATTTGCTTAGCTTGGATTGATGTGTTATGCTTCTGCTTAAGAAGCATTATGAAATGGTTTTTGTACTGACTCCTCTGGATTGTGATCACAGAAATGCTTAATATTCCTCTGTTTGTTGACTTTTGATCACCATTCTTCAAATTATTGGAAACATCGGAATATTGGCACATTAGATACAATACTATTTAAAGAAAAACAGCACAACAAACTCTCAAATACTTTTATGTGCTTAAAGGAAATTCTAATCAGGTTGCACCTAGCAGAAATAAAACAGACATCTACTGGGAAACACAGAAGAAGAATTTAGAAGTAATTTTATTTTTATTTTTTAACCACAGTAAGAAAAATTACCTTTTACTTGAGAGGGAAGAGAAACAAAGTCAAGAAATAAACAAAGGAAGGGCACAGCTCACAATAATGAAGTGGAATAAGGTTCAAAGACTTACTATAACGCCAAAGACAGCAGAAATAACTAGGCAGGGAGAGAGGAACAAGTAGCTTTTTTTTTGAAAACCAGTTCTTTTCTAATTGAAATTATTTTTGCTGAAGTGAAAGACCAAGAAAAAATCATCTCACTTGGATAAAGCATCTAAGACTAGTCCTAGCATTCCTCACATAAAACAATAACAGTCCTGTCTCACTTTTGTTCCTGAGCTCAGTGCTCAGAACCACAATATGGCCTTTCTGGCTCTGAGCCACATCCCTGCCCTGGGAAGAGCTGGACCTCTGCTGTTGGTGTGTCCCAGGGACTCTCCTAGCACGTATTTGCTGATGAACCACTGTGTCATATTGAGTCTGCTCTGCCTGCATATTTATTCAACCAGTGAGCAGAAATGAGTTCATAACATATTAGTTAGTGTGTTCATTTGTTAGAAAATCTGGATTCTATTTGCTGCTGCCATAAATATTTAATTACCTTATGCAAAGCAGAATGGCAGGGAAGCAGACTAGAGACCATTATGCACAAAATAATGAGAGGAAGAAGAGGAGGGTGTTCAAATGGATGGTGATGGGGCAGTGTACTTCTGGAAAGTGATACATTTGGGTTTTAATCTCTCTTAGTCGGGGCAGGGGGAGGCGCTGCTATGGCTAGATTTTTCTCTCTATAGATGTTGCTACATGGTGAATTGCAAATGACTTCGTGATGACTCAAGATGCTCTTTGGTTTACCAAAATGGGTTCAAGAAGACCAACAATAATCCTGTGCTGCAGTGTTAACTGCTGTTTTATTTTTCTCAGTTCCTGGCAGGCAGAGAGAGACAGTTCTTGCCCTTGCTTATACTCCACTCTCCTTTTTGGTGTCAAGATCACTCTACCACTGAAGATATGGTGTCAGGTGTCTCACTACAACTCCTTATTTATCATGGACAATAGGTTCAATAACCACATCTTGAGAAATTAGTACTGGAGGTGGAGAATTCTATCAAAATTGTATCAATAGGCTTTGCTGAAACCAGTATTTCCTTTCATTCCACTTTGATGAAAAAAAAGAACTTTGATAAAAACAGAATTAAGCATTTTTCCCCAGTTGCAGTCTCCCACTGAACAAGCTGCCCTCAGAGATTTGAGTAAGTTCCTTTCTTTGAATGGATTTATTTGCCTTTTTTACACTGGACTTTGGTCTTTCAGATTTTCTCTCTGCATACCCTCATGACATCATTGTAGTCTTTCTGAGTGCTTTTTGCAGCAATCCTAGCAAAAATTCTAAGCTGTGCCATTTCTATGATTTTTTTTTTTTAATTTTTATAGTGAAGTCTGAAGGGAATAGCATCTAATTTTTTAACCTCGTTCTGGCAGATTCTGCTGAGCATTTTCCTTTTCACAAAGGGGAGGGACCAATGCTCTGTCATGATGCTGAACTGAAGGTCCAGCTGTACAACCACTGACACCTCTGCTCCTCTGTATCACTGTGATAGAGTCCTTGCTTGGTGATGCAACCACAGCTTTGTTCTTGTAATACATATAGCATCTGGTCATAAAAAAGCCTGTTTGCTGTGACAGGTACTTTAAGCATTTCTTGCGGCTGAAGCTTTAAGTAAAGGGAAGCCAAGCCAGCGGTTTGCAGAATCTGAATGCTTGAAGTTGAGTGCAATCAAACCGATATGGTTGTGCAGCATGAAGGTATCCAGATTTAGTACACATAGAACAGCCTCTCAAAAAAGTAGCATGATACCATGGTAAAAAATTCTAACATTTTTTAAGCCTTCTGTGAATACTTAGATTTTTTTTTTGTCTGCTAAAATACAGATACAAATTCAGTTTCACAGAAAACCTTCTTAAAAATATGAAAGCCATCAAAACAAAAGTGTGTGCCTATACTTGAATTCCTTTTGCCCTTTTAGTCTTTGCAAAAAGGGTGCAAATACCAGCCACCACAAGGTAAAAGACCAAGTTTGATAATTTAAACAGCCTCTTGAGTTAAATTTAGTTTTTTATGCTTTCTCTGATGCTTCTATTCTATTAAATGTAATAAAATGTACCATGTGTGGCTTACTACAGAAGAAATTTTAGAACATTCTATTACTTGAATTTGAAAATTAAGTCTATTCCAATGCAAAAATCTGTAAACATTGAAATTGTTTTTTATGGAGCCAAATTTGAAGTAAAACACATTTCTCATTATCTCAGTTTAGCAGAATTACTTCTTCTTGATATGAATGCACAAATCAAATCAAATTAAATTTTGTAGCTTTGAGACATAGTTGAGTGCTTGCTGCATGTGCTCACTGATTTCTCTTCCTTTTTTAAGTCCTGTCTGGGGTCAAGATTAAGGAAAGGAAGACTCACCACTGGATACACAAGCTCTGGCTTTGATCCAGCTGAATTAACATTTTTAAGCATACACTTCACAGAAATAATTTTGGTAGTACCATGGGTGTTTGGAAATGTGATACTGTAAAGGCTTGATTCTGTCCCTGTCCCACTGGCCAAATTCCCACCATGATGTACTGGTGGCTAATTAATGTGCAAAGGAAATACTATTGAATTTCACATAAGCACTATGTGCAACCCTTCTTCTTGCTCAGAATGACATAGGAAGATTTGCTGTCTGTATCTTACAGAGAACTTGGACAGTGGGAATCAAAACCACTCAGAAGTTTAATGATCAACAGAAGCTAGCTCTAACAAAACACTTGAAGGGGATGTTAAGGAAGCCACTGGGAGTTTGTCTTTCATATATGGAATAAACTGCAGGACATAGACCTTCAGACTGGAAAGAAGAATTACAGTAACTAAGCACAAACAGTAGTAAATAAATAAGCAATAAAAACTAGTATATGTTGTCTTTTGAAGTATGTTTTTCCTTATGACCTTGGGAACAATTGTTAAACAAAGCCATGTGAAACCAAACAAAGCAAAGAAACTGTTGTTTGTCTTAACAAACAGAACAGCCAAGCTTTTAGGTCTTGAAAACAAAATCATTTTGTGTCCATTTGAGACCTGTTAGAAAAAGAACCAAACCACTTGCTACCCCACCCTTTCTTATGTACTGCCTTGGGCATCGGTGTTTCTGTGAAACTGTTTAATCTTTTACTTGTGTTGATGACCCCTAGCACTGCAACAGCAGCTTCCTTCAGGTTAATTTGGACCCAATACAATGTCCATTTCAGCCTATAGAGATAAACTTACTGGTGTCAGTAGGCATTGTGCCAGGCAGTATGGCAAATGCAGATTTAAAGAGACATGGAGTCTTTTAGTAAGACCCCCTCGCCCTTTGGACACATGTGACTGTATTAAGTCATATCCTCAAGATTTGTATGCATTATGTCAGTAGGGTCAACTGGACTTTTTATCACAGAAGCTAAGGTCTATAGGAGAACTTCAAACTACTCGGAACATCCACACTTATGCACAAGCAGTTATCTATAGCTGGTGCTACCTTAATTGGCTTTTCATTGTTAAAACACATAGGAATATCCTGGAATGAAATGACTAGAATTTGGTAATCTGCACAGACACAGAAAAAAACCCCTCTGACAATCCGAGTATCAGGTAGCATATGTACTATTTCTCACAGACTGTCTGACAGTAGAAAGAAAGAAAGAAAGAACCTCTCCAAATAAAAAAGAGAGAATGCAAGTAGTTCACCACAAAATTCTTGAGAAAGGTTGTCAGGTGACTTCATTCTCCATGTACAATTTCCCCTTCAGCTGTGTTTTTTTTCCTGGGAGCCCAGTCACTGAAACATTGAATATATCTACAGAAACAGTGCAGAATGCTGCCTCACAACAGGGCAGCACTACCCCCAGCTGATGTAGGATTCATATAATTCTATTTTTATACAAATAAATTGAAATACAGTAATAGCATAGATAACTAGTGAGAGAAAAAAGTGCTTGATTAAGCTTGGTGAAATATGAGCGTTAATTTTATGACTTCTCAAGTGCAGGTAGATCACATCTGAAAGGACTTGGAACACAGAGTGGGTGTGTGACAATCTTTGTTAATAAAACAGGTATAGTCTAATCTTAAATATTCCTACATATGTACTCCTCTGGAGCTGAATGGAGGAATTTACATCAGGCTCAAGATTTTAAATACAAAATGGATTGATTAGGAAAATTTCTGATTTTTTGCTATTGAATTGTGTTTATAAAAGCAAATGAAATTTGTGGTCATTTGATATTCCTTCTGTTGCTATGATGAAAACCAGTTCAAAATATTCCTAAACAGGGAAGAGCAATAAAAAGGAAAAGTAAGACTCATCAGTATGATTAATTTTCTTAAGAAGAAAACCCAGCAGATATTGTTTATGCAGAAAATTTTCTCACCTGCCAAGGATGAGATATTAATGATTACTCCTCCATCGCCTCCATTCTCTTTTCTCATGTATTCTAGACCAAGGTAGGTTCCTCTGATCACAGATGTCTGGTATAGAGAAGAAGGACTTACTGAAGATACTCAAAGATTATTTGAAACTATTCAAAATATTTTACTGAATTAGTGATGTTATTCAAAATATTTATTGTGCTTCTACAAACTGAAACTTCCTTTTATTGTGGTGCTTAGAACCTGAATCACATTACCAGTGATCTTATTTATGCTTTGGAGTTTTTAAGCACAAAGACACTCCCCAGTATTGCGACTCAACAACTTCAGAAGCACAATTGCAATAGATAGAAGCAATAGCAGTTTACTTATTTCTCTTAATAAAATATAAATAAATAAACTATAATATTGAAATGGGAAATAAGAGTTGTGAAGGAAATAAAATAAAAAGTAAATAATTTATAGATTAAATATGTTCCTTATCTAAAAATATAAGTGGCGGATGAACTGATCTAAATACCACCATTTTTTCTGAGATAGCCTGTTCTATTTTATAAAAAATGTACTGACTGTATCTGAAGATAACATTAACACTTAAAACTGCATTAGGCCCAAGTCAAAAGAAATTCACACTTTCTAGGATTAAGTTTCATGATATGTTTCCAGGATATTAAAAATGTGTATTATTTTCTGACTAAAGTTACAGGAGTTTTACCATTCCTCCCAAATGAAAGCCCACACAGGCAAATAAAGAGAAGGTAAAAAAGGCATTCTAAGAGATGGGAGATGTTGTTAGCGTAATATTAGCTGTGATTTTTACAATTTTATTTTTTTTAAGACAGAACTTTGAGGAAAAATATTCTGAGACCTGTATCACCTTGATTCCTTAAAATCTCTTTTTGAACCCCACTGCAGTCCGAAATTCTGCTGCGATTCCTCTCACTGAGCTTCAGACTTTTAAACTGAGCTATCCAAAGACACAGCAAGGCTTGGGTAACCAGTTTCCTGGGTAAATCATGAGAGGAGAGGTTCTCCCAGAAAGTCACTTTACCTGAGAGTGAAACCAATAGTGAGAAAAGGGCAGCAGACAAGGCTCCTGGTGGAAGATAATAACTCTAGAGAAATGTTCCAGCATTACTGCAATAGTGATGAGTTCCATAACTATTTACCAACTTTTTTCTGATCTCTCTGTAATCATTTCATATTTGCTTTAAAATTTCTACTTAAAATGGACAAATGCATTGAGACACACTTTTAGTCTTTTGGAAATATTATTTTGCTTTTAAATGAGAACTTCATTTGTACTTTATGAGTGCTTATTTATTGACCCAAATAAATTAAGATGTCCAAAGGATGAAGTGTTCATGATTATTTCACTATTTTTGACCAGAGAATGTCTGCAGAATAACGGAGACAGAAATTTCCCATATAAAAAAAACACAGTGAGAAAATCTGCATTTGACTAAAATCTAATGGATAGTGACAGAAGAAATGGGAGGAAAATAAAAAGCTTTTAAAATAAGAATGTTAAGTATTTTTCTGCCACTATCTAAATTCCCAAATCAAAACTGGAATAATCTTGAGATGGGTATTGCATTTTCATTAGCTGATATTTTTAGAGATGCATGTTATAAAATATAAAGAAGTACTTCTAATTCCATTTCAGATATCCTTCACGCTTTTTGGTTTTAATAAGAATCAGATTTGGAGGAGTGCATGTCCCACTTTATTAATATCACTGGTTCATTTTTCAAGTAACATGAGGCTGCCCATTGACAGAGATAAAACAACCTGAGACCTCATTAGCAAGTTTCCTTTGGAATCTTGATAATGAATCAGCTTTTCTCATTTTCTATGGTTTCAGCATTTAATGAGATATTTTTATAATAATATATTTTCAGGAATTCACTATTTCCTGGAATAGTGTAAAACCCCACAAAATATGAACATTTGAAAATTCTGAAATATTATTTTAAAGTTTTCTTAAAGAAAAAATTCCCATAAATAGATTTCTTTTTCTTTCCTGGGAAGTTTAAGCTAACATATTTTAAAAAATATTTTGATTAATTTAAAAAGGATAGTGCTGATTAAATGCTTTACCAGAAACTTTCTAAAGAACTGTCTTCAGTGTCTTGACACATACCAAATTAAATCAGATTTCTTTTGCATGTCCTGGAAAGTAGCAGAGCCATTATAAAGGTTAATCTATTGCTGTTTAATGTTCATTTTCACATGTAAATTTGATTTATTAAAACCAAGATTGTTCATGTCCAGTAGTGTTGCTATAAGGTATATTTATTCTGAACATAAACTTATTGGCACCTCAACTAAAATTATATTTGGACTTAAGTTTGGAATGTGTTTTTTAATATACACGTGTATTATATACATAGGCTGTACAGAAGATATTTTAGAAAGAAAGGGGTTAATGCTGTCTTTGGAGAGCAGGTGCAAGTCCTGTCATGCCCTGGGGCAGTGGCTCAGCCTGTTGAGCAGAAAAAGAGAATTCCACTTAGGATGATTAGAGAAAGTAAATCAGTTGAAGAAGGAAGTAGCTTGGGGCTCCTTGAAGAGGCTTTTGTATTCCTTATAATTCAGAGATAATAGACCTAGAAGCATACTAGGCCAAACCACAATTACAAACCAAACAAAAAGTGGGTAGCTTGGCTGTTCAATCAAAATAACTGTGTTGTTCTTTTTCTCCTTCTGGAAGCCATTAACTTATTATTTCTTCAGGTGACAGGAGACCTGTTCTCCTTTACATTAAGGTATTGTGAGAGGTAGTCTTCAAGATACATGCAGACTCCCATTTGGATATTGCTCCTTATACCCCCTAAAGCCTTGTAATCCTTACCTGTGATCCTCACAAAAACCTCACTGAGTGTGGTCCATCTTGGATGAAATAGCTATTTAAGAGTGTGGTCCATCTTGGATGAAATAGCTATTTAAGATGTTTGGGCAGATAAAATAAAGAATTATTCTGCAGGTAAACTCTGAACCACATACGCAGGGTGAGAAGAACCTGTCCACGCTCCCAGCAGATGGCACTTTTCATCTGAAGCGTTTTATGTTGGATTTCCCATTCCCTTGGAAGAATCCATCTCTTTCCAATCCTCTCAAAATTTATGTTTTCTGAGCCCAGTTCTTTGGCTTTAGGTTATGATGAAAATGTCTGTAATCTCCTTTCAATTAAATGAAAGAAGCTAAAGGTCTTTTCATTTTGTGCCTGTAAGCTAGTTCTCATATTTTGTGCTTCATTTTAGATTTATCTACTTAAAAAAGAAAGTGTTCATTGGTGATGATGCCCAGGACATCATTAATCGTCATCTGTTTCAAGTGACAATTGATTTGAAAGTAACTTAGCACACGGTGCTTCTTTTCTAGTGTTTCAGGACAGCTGTTCCAACTGACATAGTTTATCACACCTATTTAATAATGTTTCCTTTTACCAACTCTTGTCTGATACATCTGGTACTTCATTGTGAGAAAATACATCAGCATCTTCAGTGCTGAAGATGAGCACTATATTGGTATCAAGGTGATGTGGGAATATGAATTCCTTAGAGAAAACAAAATAGTAGTCTGTCCTAACATTTTGTTTCCTGAACTAAGATAGTTCAGTGCTAGGGATACTGAACAAAAATGAAAGAGCCACTGATTTGTGGTTTCATAAAGCAGGTTAACAAATTCAGAGGTGGAATTTGACCCAAGAAAATTTGCCTTTCATAAGAATGATGTCGTAAATCAATGACTATCTATAAGGAAACATTTAAAAGTACTTTGTAAACTATATAAGATGAACTTCAAAATCCTGAAACTTAAAGTGGTGCTTGTGATATCCATGGAAAATTTTAGCATTTTGCTGTTGGACAGGAAGGTGGGACTGTTTTTAATGTAAATTTTCTAGGACATAGACAAGTTGGAGCAAGCATGCAAGTCCCTTGGCATTCCTATGTATAGGTTAGTTTGCTATATGAAATGAAATTGCAAGCTCTTGAGTTTGAATTACCAGCTCAAACTGTGGAAAACAAGAAGTCTAGAGAGGAAAAAAGCAGAAATGAGAAAGGAATGTATAGCAGGATTTGATAATTTGCTACAAGTCAATAGCTTTTTTACAAGGTGGGAATGAAACACTGTGTTTCAGTTTTTTATGGTGCATATTTCTTTACTTCCCTCCCACCTTCAGTACACCTCCACCTTCCTGAAGGACATAGGAATAGTATTCCATTTTGATAGCTGGTCTTATGTTCTTAGTTCAAAACCTTTGCTTTTCATTATACTTTAACACTGGTTACTGTGAACATACATTAAAACCACAAGCTAAAAAAATTGACTTACTGTGTTATTAAGGTAAGTCACTGTGTCCTTCCTAGTACAATATAGACAGCAAAAATAATTATAGTGACCTAATGGTTACTTCCAGCTGCTGAATCCAGCTATGTGTCCAGATTATATTACTTTGGGATGGAAATTCAGTCCTTCCCATTTCTCCTGGTATGCTGGGAAAGGCCAGCAATGTATATGGACCAGAAGAAGGCTGCAGCATACTCCCTTTTATGGCTTGCACAGTGGAACAGCCTGGTGATGATCATGAAGTCTTTGTCACACAAAAAAAAATTAAATTCGTCACTTCTGATGTTTGCTTAGCTATCCTTCTGGTTTCTGCTGAAACATTATTTGGCCTTCCGAGAAATAGGTCCTGACTGATAAGCAAACATTGATTTTGCAAGGTTTTCTAGTTGCTGGAACATGTGTTTCACCATGAGCTGTATTGAAAGGAGTCACACATAAATATACAGTGGTGCATTCTCTGTAGTTCCAATCTAAGTATTTTGCAGGGACAAACCATGATGTTGGTGGACTTCATTTTAGTAAGGGACTTTTCTAAATTCATGGAAATTTGTTACTTCTGTCACTTATGGAAACAAATTGTGCAAACTCATGAAAAATATAAAAACTTGGAATTGTTGCATGTTTCTACATTTTGCCTAGTAATGAAGAATAAGACTGTTATGCACATGAAGAAATTTGATTTCTACTTACTTCTGGACAATGCTTATATAATTGAATCCCATATGACTGGGGTGTTTTGATGTGCCCAGACTGGCCTATAATTTAAAGTTTTGCCAGAATGTGTTAAAAACTGCAAAATTATCACGAACAGGAGATAACTGTGATTTTGCTTTCAAATTTTTTCATAATTTCATTTGGGGAATCGGTTTAAATATATATACAAGATTAATTTTTTGTTATAATAAAACAGTAAGGTAGACAAAATGCCACATAATGTACTTCTAAACTTTTGATTGGGGTAATTAAAATGCAAGCATAGGTGTACTGCTACATTTAACTGTATACAGCAACCTATGTCAGTTTTCAGAAACCTATGACAAGAACATAACACCCTGTGTGTAATCTGGGAGATTGTCTTTAGTATAATATGTGCTAGGTGCATTTGTAATGACAAAAGATACTGTAATTATCCACTGTAATTGACCACTAGGTCACTCTAATTACAGTGATTCCAGAAAGCCACATCAACACATGATAAAATTATTGACGCCTCTTGGAACACCCAATTGTGTTTAAATAACATACATGCTCAAGGCTTGTAAAGATGTGTGCCCTTTTCTTGCTTTAAGGATTTGAAGAATAAAAAAAGTCAGATTATGAAATTTCTGGATCCCTTAGGCAAAATTTTTTATGAATGCAATAAAAACTGTTATGCTGGAGGAGTGTAGGTAGGACCCTTAATAAGAATTTATGTGTCATACACCCTTGTGCTATTCTGTGCACACACTGTGTGTGTGTGACAGGCTGCTGAAACTACACTGGTCATATCTCTTTAAAATGGAATTCTGTTATGGTTGTCAAGTTCATTTTTTAATGAACTTTATTATTGCCATAATAACAAGAGTGTACCCTTGTATGACTATCACTAGTTGAAGCTGCTGTTGATCAAGCTGATATCAATCAAGTAAACTCTATGAGATTTGGAGTTTTGAGGTGAGGAATAGATGGCATTGCTGGAACATGTAAGTAAAAAAAAAAAATAATGGATGCATTAATAAAGTAATGAATAGATGGAACTTTAGCACAAAATGTAGCAAGATGGTGGAAAGCACTGCAATAGAAATATCATTTTAGTAGTCAGTACTCTTTCCTACACCCATTCCCTGGCTTTATCAAGTTGTCTTTTCTTGCTCTCAGGAATCTGTAATGGACACCAGTAGGAATTGTGTTTTACTCCATTTCCTTCCAAATTAAGTCACACTTTTTGAACCTTCTTCATGCTTTCTTGAGCAGTACTGGCAGAGAACTTCCTTACATTCCTTCAAAATCTTTCCTGAAGACCAACCGGTTCTGTGAACTGTTGTAGCTGTAAAGAACACACCCTAGATGTGTTTGTCCTGATTTATCTTGCCCTGTACTGCTCTACATTTGTACTTTGTACTTTAAACTGGGGCAGGGAATATTTGTTATATCAGTATATAAATGATATCACTAAGATTATGACTGGCATGTAGAGGGTTTTTTCCCCTTCTAAAATAAAAAATATATGCATATTTTTGTATCACACATTGTATCACACTGTGTGGCTATAGCAGCTATTTCTGTTCTTAGGAATAAAACAAATACTTAAACTATCCTACTACAGAGAGACTGAGACATTTCTAAAGAATGTATTTCATATATGTTTTGCTCCTTTCTACAAGAAAGAGAAATATTTTTTTCTAAACCAACACATAGAAGATACAGCTATTTTTCTTCTGTTGTTATAATTAAAAAAAACAAAAATTACAAATTGTTATATCTTAATTTACAGAAATTACAGTAACCAAACAGAAATGCTCATGGAGATAAGCTAGTTAGTTGACTTGGTGTTAGACAGGGAAAGAACAATCAAATCAATAGGTAAGCGGAGATATTTGTATCTTAGAACGGCTTTGATTTTACCCACATGACTGTACTTTCTACTCTGATCATTTTAGATGTTCTTTCAGTCACTACCATGTATTTATGAAATTTTTCAACTTTCAACTGTGTGTTAGGTTGTTAGGACATTTATGGAATATTTGCATATACAATAATGTGTAAACTATATAATTTTTCCTTAAAAAAAAAAATTAGGAGTCTAACTTGGTAGTTAAACATATAGGCTTCTAAGACTTGGATTTCAGTTTTTCTGCTACTTGAGACCACTTATGGTCTGCTTCTGCTCAGTTACTTGTAATAAGAAAAAAAAAATAGTCATTGAATTGCTTAGATTGGAAAAGACCTTCAAATCATCAAATCCAACTGTTAACCCAGCACTGCCAAGTCCACCACTAAACCATGACCCCAAGTGCCACATCTATAGGCCTTTAAAATACCTCCAGGGATGGTGACTCAGCCGCTTTCCTGGGCAGCCTGTTCCAGTGCTTGACAACCTTTTTGGTGAAGAAATCTCTCCACATATCCAATCTAAACCTCCTCCAGCCCTTCTGACCATTTTCTCTCATCCTATCGCTTCTTCTTAGGAAGAGGAGGCTGTCCCTCACCTCATTACAACCTCCATTCAGGTGATTGTAGAGGCTGATAAAGCTCTTAGCTTCCTTTTCTCCAGGCTAGACAACTCCACCTTCCTCAGCTGCTCCTCACAGGACCCTTCACTGCTTTGTTGTCCTTTTCTGGCCATGCTTCAGCACCTTAATGTCTTTCTTGTAGTGAGGGGCCCAAATGGAACATGGGATCTGAGGTGCAGTCTCACCAATGCTGAGTACAGAGACAATCACTGGCCACACTATTGCTGATCTGTATCTGCAATTGCCATTGTCCTTCTTGGCCACCTGGGCACAGCTGGCTCACTGTTGACCAGCACCCGCAGGCCCTTTCCCAATGGGCACCTTTCCAGCCACTCTGCTGCAAACCTGTAGCAATGCATGAGGTTGTAGTGACCAAAATGCAGGACTCAGCACTTCTTATTGCAGCTCAGACAATTGGCCTTGGCCCATCAATCCAGCCTGTTCAGATCTCGAGCCTTTACAGAGCCTTCTGACCCCTCAGCAGATCAACCCCACACCCAGCTTTGTGTCTTCTGCAATATAAGAGGAGGTTCTCAATGTCTTCGTTTGAAGCTATTGGCATCCAAAAATTATGACATCATTCAAAATTAGGATATTTACCTTGACAGCAAGTGTCACAGTCAGACACATTTCTCACATGGACTTCAGTATTTCCAGTGATGACTAATTAATATCTGTGCTTGCAAATTTGACAGGTGGATGGCTGCCTACATGTACTTATATCCTGTGTTAAAACCAGGCACAAAAGTAAAGAGAAATAAGTCATCTAGGATGCAGTCCTCTTTTACATTCAAGGGATGTGTACAAAGAGATACAGATGTTGCCTATCACTGAGGATGACAAATTACTGTTACTTCACAATTTGAAGTTTCCTAATGCTTAATTTTTCAGAACATTTTAGAAATGAAATAAAGAGGAAGAAATATATGTACTTAAATCTTGAAGAATACCTAAGGAAGATATAAAAAATCAAGAGAAAGGTGTTATGGAACTTAAATTCAGTTTTTTCCAAATACCTATTTTCTCATTAATTTTTCTTTAACTTTATAGTCTTTTCGTCTCACATACAGCTTGTGTTACTTGTCCTGGAGTTATTTTGTTAGTTTGTAAATTTGGAGGTATTGGGATTCAAAGATGGGTATCTTTGCCCTTAAATTTTTTGACAAAAACACACCTAATTTTCATATTCTGAGCTTTCTTGTCGTGTGACAAATTTCAAACGAGAAAACTTCACATTTTACTCTTAAAAGCTTCCTTTTGCTACTTTCTTTGCATTAAGTATGATCATGGGGTGACTTGTTGAATCACTATTGAATTAGGACTTCACAGATGCTAGACTACAAGCTGAATTTCAAGAACCTAGAAATTCTATTAATGCTAGAAAGGTCATTCTTTGGAGCTTAGACGTCCTAGAGGTGTACTTGAAATTAAAAACTTTTCAGCTGAGAAACAGATTTTGTGGTTTCATCTGATGAGATACCAGATAATATCAAAGAAGTGGTAACTGCTTGAAAATTAATTTTGCAGGCTTGTTGAATATACTGGATTTTAAGAGTAAGTGTCCTTAAATAAAAAGTGACAGTGGTGAAGTGGCCTATATTAAAAACTCGGATTTTATGCTGACATGATTGGTGAGGAAAATGTGGAGGTCTTGGCTGAACAAGTTTACTTGTAGTATCAACAAATCACAACTCTTGTGCTGGCCAGCTGAGCCTCACAAGAAATTAAAATGTTCTAAAACATTCATAGAGACAGACTGCCCTACTGCAGATGCAGCTCTACTGCTTTGGGCAGTAGATTTTCCCAAATTATACCTATTTGGGAATTAATTGGATTTTCTAGAAAGAGAATGTTGTCTGGTGACAGATAATCCGAGCAGCTCTACACAGTGCTGTATGTCTTGGATAGACAATTTTAGGGACCCACCACAGACTCAGGTATGTGGTGATTGTTTCAGCAGCTGTACTTACCAATCCAATAAACAATGTTCTATCATTTGGCAAAACCTGTACAAGCCACAGGCTGTTAATTGTTTTCCAACATTAAATACTGAAATATAGACATATGAAAGGAGATAATGCTTACCAAGTTAGTTTGTATAGTGCCTTCCCAGTCCTTCTCATTGTTCACTCCAGCATTATTAACCACAATATCCAACCTTCCAAAATGTTCAATCACTTTTTTGAAAGCACCTATAGTAAGATCCAAGAGTGACATTACTTAGAGCTTTGTAAAATAAGATATAAAAATACAATGCATAGAAAAATGAATGGTTTATTAGTCTACCAAAATATCTTCATTATTTTCTTAAACATTAGTGAGCAACATTCAATTAAATACTTTATCTAACATGCACCAATATTAGATATATTAAGGGAAAGTGGAAGGATTAAGATAACATAGCTGCCTTGTAATTCAGTTTGATGATGGTTGATAACAGGAGCTAATGTAAGTTTTTAGCACTTACACATTTTGTATTAGATAGGAAGTTTGGCACCCCAATTATATAAATTAAGCATTTATAGCTTGATTTGTAACAGTTTTATATAGTTAGTAAAGTCAAGATTTGACACTATCTATTTTGAATGAAAAACAAAAGCTTCAAGTGTTCAGAAAAAATTTCTTCATTCAGTCCAAATTTAGACTAAGAACACAGTTTTTATTTAATGAATAACTGACATGAATATTTCAACCACAAATAATTAATCACGATTATTGTTTAGATGTATCTATTTATGGATAAGTTGTTATATATCCTACTTGTCAGGTAACTTTAATAATGTGCTTCTCAAATTCAAATCTTTTTTTCTGAGCATAAAAATAGTGACCTGTCTTCCAAAGAATTTCAAAATAAGAACTCAGAAACTTCCCCAATGACACTGGGTTTTTCCAGGTGACAGTGTTAGAACTGAGATAAAAGATGTGTATAGAAAAACAGGATGATGTCATAATGAGGAGCAAACTTGTCAAACCTGGCTCTGCTTCAGCAAGATAGATGAGATGAATTCCAGATGTTCATTCCAGACTAAGATGTTCCAGGGCTGAGGATATTATCTGACATGTATATAGAGCTTTCTTGTTTTTCCCTCCAAATACTATTCCTCATTGCTAAATATTCAGTTATGTAAACCAAGACTCTGTCTCCCCAATATTGTTTTAAAAAGCTTTGTTTGGTGTTTGACTCAAAATCGACAATATTTCAGGGACCAGTGAAGTGTAATGAATGAAAACAGACCAAAACACTAAAACTAGGCTTGACAGGCCTTGATGGAACTACTTCACTGAAAGGTGATCCCAGGAGCATCTTCCTTCTCTGCTCTTTAGTTCTTTAGTGCTTAGCCCTTCGTGTCAATCAGGTGTATAGCATCAGCTTTCAGACATCTACTTTTTTCTGCAGCAGTTGCAGGGGTTTACAAAGCTTTTCCTGCACGAGCCTTTTCTTTGTCTCAATGCTTCAGATCCATCATAGTCATCATTTTGTGATTAAAACGAGCTGGGCAGCTGATGGGAAAGATTTTATTTGTCCAACTGCCTTCATTGTACAGATTTTTATAATATTCTATACTAGAATACTGTAATATTAATAAATCTTCTGGTTTGGTCTGTCTACCTTTTTTTCTTTTCTTATGTTTGTTGCCACTTCATTCTCTGATTTCTCAACTCTTCTTTCCAATTTATCCGTTTATCTTTCCAATTCTGCATCAGCCATTGAAAATGAAAACCTCTGGATTTATTAGAAGCAGAAGTGAATATTTAACTTATTTCCAATAAGTAAAATAAATACAATTTGGGTCCTTACTTAGCTTCCAAATTTTGGAAACTGGCTAATTCTCTTTTAAGCCTTCTCTAAATAACATCTTAAGAAGATTCTAATTAATAATAGAATTTTCAAAAAACACCATGGATAATAGTAATTTTGCGAATGATTTTTTAATTAGATTTACACAGACTTGGCTAATTGTAATTTTCTATTTTACATACTGAGAAAAGACCAAATGCTTTTGTATATCTATGCTTGGAATATTTCTGGTAGAAGTTTATCTGCCTATAATAATCCCAAATATCACCTGCCCACAAAAAGAAGAATCTTATTGTAAATTCTTAGTGAAGTTGTCACCTACACATCAGTATAAGCTGATTTATACTTCTCTCTTCAGATGTAGAATAATACTGTACTTCCATTGCATACTAATTAGAGCTTATGGAACCATAAAAAATTAAAAGCAGATGATAGTAAGAAATGTTGAGTGGGGAAGGAAAAAATAAGAGAAGGATCTATTTTAAAGGAAAGATAAAAAAACAATGCAAAGTCTGCATAAACACCAGTTATATGTGAGCTTCTTAAACATACCTGGAAGGAAAAAGTAAGTATGGTGATTTCTCAAAAGTGGGATGACATAGGAGATTTTTGTGGGGGATTAGGTGAAAGAACCACCAGAGAAAAAAGTACAGGCAAGACCTAAAAGTATATTAAGCAGATGATTTCTTGCCCATAAGCCTCATGTACTTAAAAATACTAGTTCTAGTACTGGGACTTGCTTCCTATTTTAAGAGCTAAAATTAAAAAAAAAAAGAACAACTTCATTCACACACGTGACCTTTAACATAAAGTACAGGACTTGATTCATCCAACAAGACTTTTAAACCCTAAATGTGAGATTAATCTAAATTTGTTAGGTAGTAGCTTACAATTGAAAGTGGAAAAATATGAAAATAAGGCAGTTAAAACCAAAAAAACCCACTAAAACCAGCTCAGAATCCCCAAATGATTGTGAGACATGATTGCAAATTTATGGTAAGAAACCTGCAGGTGGATTAATGCAATGATGGGAGAGGCATTAGCAGCAGCAGCTGCCTGTTCTCGCTCTTTTTCTTTGTGAGAACCACTTCCAATTTTACTCTGATTGTTCTTTTCCTAGTAAGTTGGTTCCAAAAACTCCCTTGCTGACCTGTCCTACTCACTCCAGCTCCCAGTTCACACCCTGTTGGTCCTGCACTCGCCTGGCACTGAAGAGAGGAGGAGCTGTGGGAGTCAAGGCACAATGAGGTAACACACCTGCTCAGCAGCACATGTTATTCCTACCTCTAGGATGCTTTTTCTTGCTTCTTACTCCTCCCACTTAGAGAAAAAGTCAATAATCAACCTAGCTGAATAAAAACTTTGCTGATTACAGCAGATCCCAGATGTAAAGTCCAGCATCTTTCTTACAAACAGATAATGTAAAGCTATAGAATTAGGAATAATCATGCCAACTTGGAACAGTGGACAGTGAATTCTGCTGAATTCTGGAATAGCAGCAATGTTTCTGAAAGAAGAAAGGCTATGCTAAATGATCACTGTTGAGAAAGGGACCAGTGAAGTGCAATGAATGAAAACAGACCAAAACTGTTCACATCTATCATGGCAGAAATGAATCTGGGGAAAGGGCACTGACAAAAGAGATGTCAAAATCTGAATCTGAGTCACTACCTATGAATGCACCATTTAATAATGAAACTTATAATGAAGTGATGTGCTGTTATGAAATATTGTGAAGGTACACAATGTTATATGATACTCAGCAGGGAACACTGTTTATCCACTAAGTGAAAACAGAAATGCAAATCACTCATAAGGGAAGCTGCTTTCATTCCATGCCTCTGCAAAATGTGTGTGAAGCGTTATCACCCTATAGTTAACCCCATGATAAAGCAGCGTGCCACTTTTTGCCAGTTCTGGTTTCAGCTATGGCAGTACGCAATGAAAGTGAGCTGTATGGAAAGAGCACTGCAACCCAGCACAGAATTTATTACTCCTGTGACGAGGGAATGCAGCTTGGAATCTGTACTGAAACCTCATAAAGAGCAAGTATGAGCTTTAAAGTTTATATATATTGCTCATAAAATAGCAATTATCTTCTGCAGAGGCTTCTATACAAAAATATCACACATAACACCGAATGGAAACGACTTCGGCTTTTCTTTCCGATGTGCCGAGGAGCAAAGTGAAATTGTGGTAGTAATGCCGGTAGCAAGATTTCACCTCTGCAGGTTCAGGATGGAGTGGTTTGTGAGCCAGTGCCAGCGGCGATGGGGAGCAGGCTGGCTGTCCTGCAGAGCGCTTAGCCGCGCTGCGCCTCACGCTCTTACCTGCCAGCTGCTCCTGCTCCGTCACATCGCACTGGATGAACAGCGTCCTCTGCGCTTCAAACTGCTCGTCCAGGGCCGCCTTGCTCTCCTGCCCGGCCTCGGAGTTGCGGTCCAGCAGGGCTACCTAAGCGGGGAGGGAGGAAAATGAGCGGCTGGCGGGCGGATGGACAGACGGACAGGTTCCCTGCCGAGCCGAGCCCCGGGGCTGCCATCGCCCCCCGCCCGCGGGTGCCGGCTGGAGGCAGAGGGGAGGGAACGGGAGGACGCGCGTCCCGGGGCTTACCTTGGCGCCCTTGCCCAGCAGCGCCTGGACGAAAGCCCGGCCGATGCCCTGCGCCCCGCCGGTGACCAGAGCCACCTTCCCATTGACGTGCATGGCCACCGAGCTCCTGCCGTCCGCCCCGCGCCCGCAGAGCCGGAGCAACCCAGCGCGGTGTCACCTGCCCGCTTTCCTTTCTCCCTCCTTCGTGCCCTCCCTCCTTCGTGCCCTCCCTCCTTCCCTCCTCCTGCTGCTGCCGCCGCCGCTGCAGCGGCTCATTCCCCGCTCGTGTGACCCAGAGCCTCCCGGAGCTGCCTGGGCGGGGGGAAGCAGGGGCGGAGCGGGTCATTAAATCGTCCTCCCGAGCGTCTGGATGAACCCTGGAGACTCGCAAGAGGCAGAGAGAAGACCAGCTTCATCCCCTCTTCCCACCCCCGGGCTTTCCGGAGGGGACAAGTTGGCGGCGTCCCCCTGAGAAAGGGTCCCAGGGCAGCTACAGCTCCGCTCGGTGGAGAGGGGGATTTGTGTGTGTGTAAATCGCGTGAGAAGCTGCAGCAAGCTTTGATAAGGACTGTTGGCAGCCCTTGAGGCTCTCTGAGTTTTGGTTGGCCCAAGTTGCATGAGGAGCAGGGTGACGACAGCCTCCAAAAAAACAAACATAAGCCACGTTTTCTCACTTCAAAACAACAAGCCTTCTCCCTCTCATTCCCCTAGTAAGCAGAATCTATTTGCATGAAAAAGAAACCATTTAATTAGAAACATCAAGATTAGTGCTTTTGAGAAATTTTCAGGTCTGTGGTTAACAGAGCTTATACCTTAAGACATGGTTTACTGCTTTATTAGCCTGTAAGCCAAATTCTGTCTGCTATATTAATGTGAACTGTATGCAGCTAAAATTCCTCAATACTAATGTATGTGACCATACAGTAGAAATAAGAGCACCTTCAACCATGCAAAAGCTGAAATAAATGCTCTTGTTCATTAGCTTGTTACAAGATTCACAAATGTTATCCCATAGAAGATGCAATGTTGTGGAGTGTTGGGTTGCCAGGAAAAATCCATTGTTTCAGTCCTAAGCTCTATAAACATGTATATCATGCAAGTGTGCATGTTTATTAACACACACACAATTGTCTTGCATGTTCCCTGTTTTCTTTTGCCTAGTGTATCAGGTTTAAACTTTTTACTTGTGCTTTCAAGGCCCTAAAGTACTCTGACTCAGACTGCATCTCTGTCATTAATATCTTGTAATTTCTCCTTGTTTCTCAGTAACAGTGTTCCTATTTTGCCCTCTCTTTTATACCTCTTCTGTTTTTTACTAGTCTGCCTTTATCTATAGAATTGTCTTCTTTTGTTTTACCTAGAAAAAAGAAATTACATCACTCCTAACACCCAGCAAACTGTTACAGAACCATTAAGGTAACTATGTTACCTAATTGAGTAAATCCAGTAACACAAGATCTCGTTATTATAACCTTTGTCCTTAAAAATGTGAACTAATATAATCCAGCTGCTAAATTGGATCACAGCCATTAAGTTTTCCTAAAGATCATGATTCACCTTGCTTCATAAGAGCAGTCAAAGATGGCCTCTGGGATAAGTGATTTGTTAGAATATGATACCTGTGTTTCTGGGAGGACTCCAATTTGCTTTGGAGCTGTGAAAATTATGCCACCTCAAGTGCCATGCCTAATGAATTCTGTCCCAACCAGCTGAGCCAGCTTCCCTAATTTGTTGGGACACAAGTACAGCGCCAGGTTAAAGTCACATCATGAGAAGAGTATTACCACATAGAAACCTAACAATAGCATTGCAATGGAATCTTTCACCCTCAATTTAACCCTGATACCCCCCCTGCCCCTCCTTCCCTCTCCTATGGCAATGATCAACATCTGTCATGGTCTTTATTTCCACAATGTAATATTGTTTTAAAGAGCTATGCAAAGGAAAAGATCAATAAACCCCTCTGTATTCCAAACAGCTGTAGTTGGAATGACCTTTGGCAACAGTTTTCTAAATTGTTGATAATTTGGCATGAATGTTAAGAACAATCTGGACTCTTTAGAAGTGCTGGAATGCTTTAAGATTTGAGTGCACACAATGTTTCCATAAAAAAAATAAGCTTATAATTCTGTGTCCAGAGATCATTTTAGTTGAATACAGTCTTGGGTATCTTAAAATTGTTTAGAAGTATTCTAAAACTAAGAATAAGATAAACTAAGCCAGGGTTTCTAACCTGTTTTTGTTGGCTAAACAGACTCTTGCCATTATTCCATTCAAGAATCTAAATTACACATCTCCCAAGACAGCATAAAAAGGATCCATACTGATACCCATAACCTTGGAGAAATGTATTTGATATGAGACAGTGTTCCTAACTAGAACAGGATGTGCCAATCCTCCAAATGCAGGAGGAAGTAATAGAAGCATGGCTCCGTGATCTACCCTTGGAGTCAGCAGAGTTCATTTGGCTGTGAGGGATATGTGTGCTTTACTCTTTCAAACTACACTGGATTTGTTGTCAACTCACTACAGATATCCTTAAGAAATCTCTTGCCATGTAGTCCTTTACCACCATAAGTTTTAAATTTAACCAACTACATAAAAGACAAAATACTGCCCATAGGAAGAAGCTCCTTGTAGACATCTATTAGATATCCAGAGTTAGTATCTCAGCCTCCTTGGTGAAACTTGGGGGTTAGGGAATAGTTATGAAATATTTTTCTCTCTAATTCATAAATTGACAGTTTTTGAACCTTTCCTTCAATTTAAAGAAAACTCATAGAAGCATGAGGATTTCCACTGTCAATTTTTCAATGGTCCACCTTTTCAAATAACCCAGCCTTAAGAAAAAAGTACCCAACCTCACATAAAAAGTTGAAAGAGCTGTCACATCAGGCAGTAGTATACCATAAATTATCTGTCTTCCTAAGTGGCCAGTTTACAGAAGACTGAGTATATGCCTTGGGCACCTTATTCTGTGTATACTGATATGTTTACTTAAGCTGGTATGCTGACTTAAGAAAATGTGGGACAGTTAATCATGGTGCATTATTCAGTGGTCAAGAGTCAAACCAAATCTTATCATATTTGCGATTTTTTTCACCAAAGTGAAATTTGCACTAATGCTTGCCCTGAGGAGTTTTTGTGTAATACATTAGCTAGACTCAAATGTATCATAAACAATTATTATCTGAAATCACAGGCATGAAAAGATACTAAATGAGTCCAAGAATATTTGATTTTGGTGCTTTGAGAGAAGGGTAATTCCATGCATTTTCTGTTCAAAGTTAAGAAATAATAACACTACTAATTAATGTCTTAGATGCTGAAGTTATGTGGGTCAAATCTTTCACACAAACTCCTGCACAAGGATGCAATGTTGAATGTTTATTAACCTTTTTCTATTGTTTGTGTACAGAATGTCATTTCATTTATTGCTTTCTAGTACGCCTCTTGACTAGCAATAAATCTTTTTTTGCTTTTCTTTTATGCCTGTGGTTCCTCTTCCATTTCCCTCCATTTACTAAATCTGCAGCTTATGCTGCACTGCTCATCACAGACCACGGTGGCATCAAAGTGAAGGAGCTCCAGGTAGTTTTAATCTGTTTTTGGAGAGAAGACAGAAATATGACCTTCCAGATATATGTCGCACTGTTCATTCATTTTTTGTTACCATCTTCTCATTTTCTTCAAGGTGTTATCCAAGTTGTTATAAAGACTAAGAATTTCACACACCTATGAATGAATTACCAGGCAATGTGTGTAGAAGGGCACGCAAACACAGCTAATCAGCATGTGTGCTTTGGTATGTAGCTCAGTGCATTACCCCAGCTTCTAACAAGAACAACAGGTGGAAAACAAAACTAGAGAAATGTCACAAATGTCCAGCTTTGCATGGGGTAATTAAAAGACAGATTTCAGGCCACATACTTAATGTGGTGCGTGTTTTTTCATTAACAAGGAACTTACAGCAAGTATGAAACATTTTTCCATGTCCAAGAGAGTTATTCATAATGCAATTACTGCATTTTCTCTTTGCATGTATTACATTGAAAGGCATAAATTACTTCATAAGAAGATGATCTTATGCAGCTATGCTACATTTCAGATATTATACCTAGCTGTGCATACAGCTATGAAAAGAATTCAAAACATAGACTGGCTGCCAGAAATATCTAACTAAGAAGGCAAGAAAATGAATGAATAACAGGCTCAGAGATTTGCCAAAATGCATTTTTAGAGGACAACATCATATCAGCTCGTTGGTAGTGAGTGGCTAGATTATTTTGTTCACCCAAGACAACAGCAGGACTTGCACACAAATGTAATGTACTTGGGCCAAATCAGAAAAAACAGGGTACATCAAAGTAGAAAATAGATGTCAAAAATCTTCTTTCACGGTGCTCATGCTATATGCTCAAGATATCATGACTTTCATGGTGAGATTTTGAGTAAGACACTAAAAAAACCAGTTCTATTGCTGTCTGCCTTTTCAAAAATAGCAGGATAGGAAAACAATAATGTGTGTTTTTTAAAAAATACAAGAAATTGAGGTTAGTAGTATTGTCATAATAGAAATGGTAGTTGATGAGGATAAAAAATCTGTTTATTAGCTTAATGAGGACCATACAGTGAAGTCTAGATCATTTTTCCATATAAAGTAGAAAAGGGAAGTCACTGGAGATGATAAAAAAGAGAAATAGAGACTTGTACAGTGTAATTTCCTGATTTTTGAGAATGTCTAAAAAGTATACAGTTTTTGTGAAAAGATGTGTCAGAACATGTGGGAGGATGTGACAGTCAATGAGACACAAGAGAGACGATAACTGGTTTTTAGATTGCCTCTAACTGACATCAGAGAGGGAATGTTAAGAGGCAGATTCCTGTTATTTTGGAAACATCTACTACTACTGAGAGAAAAGTTTTGAAGTAAAGAAAATACAAATATCCAGAGAAGAGGTGAAGAAAATAGCAGCCTAGGAAGCTAAGGACAAAAGATTTAAAAATCTTCTCTTGAGTACCCATTCAGAGAGGCTTTCTAGTTTTCCAGAATGCCTTTCCTGGATCAAATTACTTCTGCCATGCTCAACATTAGTTCAGTCTGTATCTCAGGCATCACAGTGATAAATATTTCAGTCCATTGTCTTGCATATAGGCCATATAACTGGGGAACACTTAGCTACTTGTGTTTCCCCTTAGAAACTGAATTCTTTTAAAAAAAATTAAAATGTTTAAGCAATTAAGGTAGCACAATGTTCATTGAGGACAGAAGAATTATTAATAAAATCACTTAAAAAAAGTTACTAGATAAGGTAGTTTGGGCTTAATCCCATGCTTGAAAATCGGTAATACACACTATTAAAAAAAATATAGTCTGCTGGAAGAATGAGAACATGAGCATGAGGCCTTGCTAGGAAGGCAATTCTGCAAGATGTTAAAACTTCTCAAGGCTCGAGACAGACTCTAAATGAATAAGGAAAGATTCAGTGTTAAAGCATGCCCTACCCTTTCTCTATCTGATATAATTATAGGAGAACCTTTAAAGCCCTGTATTTGGCACTGTCTTTAAACACCGTAGCAGTACAGCAGCTGGCAGCAAAACCAAAACAAAAATATGTGAACCCCTCCCATGCCTCTTGCAAGTTTGGCAACACACTATAAGCAAGACTGACTGTCTTCTCTATTAATTTGATTATCAACCCAACAAGCACTGCAAAAGTCTGTATGTTTGCAAAGAAAATGTTGTAGGCTTACACTCAAATAGTAAAGGGCTTCCTAAAAGCTAGGATGAGCAATTAAAATTGCACTAGCCACCCCATACAGTAACTTGAGTTTCTTACACCTGTGTAATTCTAGTGAAAGTGACTTGTCTATTTCTTTAAAGGATTACAACCACAGAGTTATATGGATTTTGATATTTGTTTTTGAAATCCTGGAGTCTTATTAATTATCTTATTTGATAGATACTACTAATGTGCTTTCTTTGAGTACTATCCAGTTGAGAAGAAATATTGTTTTGATTATGTTTTAACCTTTAAAAGTAAGAACCTAAAAAAAGAAAAAGAAAGAAAAAAATAGAGAGACATCCCAGAAAACCTTCATTCCAAATCTGAAAAATAAGGAATTAGCAGGGAACCATGAAATCAGTCTTCTTATTCTACTCTCCAATTTTATATATGGTCTGATGGTGATAGCTATCTTTCAAGCTGTTATTTTGGCTCCCTCCATTTTTCTATACAAATAGTCACTGTCTAGGTGCATCACTTTGTGGATGTTCTGTTTTAATAAAAAGCTGTCACATACAGAGGTTTTTTTTTGAGTTGGGGCAGGTTATTTTGCGCTGCATGGTGATTGTGAGATGTATGTTTTAGGGAACATCTACTACTACTGAAAGAAAAGGTTTGGAGTAAAGAAAACATTGTGCAAAAAGTGCTACATAACACTTGTAGTATTCCATAGATTAACAACTGGTCAGAATAATGAGGTAGTCACATCCAGAAATAACAAGGAAAAGTGAACCAAAAGTAAAAGAAAAGGTATAAAAAGGAAGTAAAAAAATTGATGAGTGATGTACTTTCTAGAAATTATCACATTAGATGAAATTAAGAAATGAGTCAAACATCTCAAATGTCAACACCATGGTCCTTTTCCTTATAAGAAGTTTATTCTTTTAAAATAAAGAAGGCCATATGCAAAGGGAAATGGTGTTGAAACAATTTCTGACAGAAAAGTAGCTGATACATAATTTTCATATTTTCCTATTAGTAGTTACAATACAGAATTAAAAAAAAATACCCTCAACAGCTATTGGATTAATTCCAACCTGAAGTAAATCAGACAGAAGCTAGCAGCAAAATAGTTTAACCTTATTTCATTTTATGTATGCACATAGAAATATTTTTTGAAAAGATTGTCCCATATGTCTTTGAACTGGAGAAAAAAAAGTGTTGACAGGAAATATTTCATTTTTATCACACATTGAATTTACTGGAGAGTAAAACTATTTTCTTAAAATGTCATGTTAAAAAAATATTTTAAATTTTCACAATTAAGGATCTTAATGAAAGAAAACATAAAGTAGTTAGAAATTTTGAGGGCAACTATAAGCAGGGTTGGTAGCAGAACCCAAGAAACTGTCTCACCTTCCTCATTAGAATTTGTCTACTTAAAATTCTTTATAGTTCTACCAGGTTAAAAGCTAGATATTTTCATATCAGATGTTTTCTTCAAATTGGAAAAATGCAGGTAAAGACAAATTAAATAAGAATTGAGACTTCCTCAGCTTCATGCCTCATGTATTTGGGCTGCGTCATGCAGAACTACATCTGCAAAAGGTTTCCAGTAGTTTTCAAAAAAGTGCTCAGCCACAGCACTCCCAGAATGTTTTTGCACTAATCCCAAGAGTCACAACATGTGCTGAAGAGCGTTGTCCAAACACGTCTTGAATTCTGTCAGGCTTGGTGCTCTGTCCACTTCCCTGGGGAGTCTGTGCCAGTGCCCAACCACCCTCTGGGTGAGGAATTTTTTTCTAATATCCAACTCAACCCTGTCACAGCTTCAGTTCATTCCCTTAAGTCCTGTCACTGGTCACCAAAAGAAGAGATCAGTGCCTGCCCCTCCTCTTCCCCTCATGAGGAAGTTGCAGACTGCAATGTGATCACCCCTCAGTCTCTTTTTCTCCAGCCTGAAACAACTGCATTTTCTTTCAGGTGTTTTTCAATACCTCCCAGGATAATCTTCTCCATACCTTTACCAGGCACTGAAGTGAGACTGACAGGCCTGTTGTTTCTTGGCTCTTCCTTCTAGGCCTTCTTAAAATCTGGGACAATGTTTACCAGCTTCTGCTCAGCTGGGACATCTCTGGATTCCCAAGAATGCTCAAAATCATCGAGATAGGTTTTGCAATGACATCAGCAAGCTCTTTGAATATTCTTGACTGAATCCCATCAGACACAATAGTTATGTAGGGATCCAGCTGGAGCAGCAGATCCCACACACTTTCAGTGTTGACTGGGAGTTGATCATCCTTGCAGTAATGGCCCTCCAGCTCAGGGCACTGAGATCCCCTTGTTCCATCATCCGTGTTGGAGGTAGAGCCAAAGAATGTGTTAAACACCTGTGCCTTGACTGTGTCCGGGTTTGTGAGGTGACCATCCTCTCCCTGTAATGGGCTGGTGTTATTTCTACTCTGCTTATTGTCTTTAATAGGTTTGAAAAAACTCTTTTTACTGTCCCCCACATTTCTGGCCATCTTCAACTGTGATTGAACTCTGGACACATGAATTTTCTCCCTATAGTGGCAAGCAACATCTCTCTGTTCTTCCTGTGTCACCTGACCCTGCTTCCACTGTGCATATGCTTTCCTTTTTTGCCTTATTTCCAAAGAAGATTCCTGTTCATCCAAGTGGGTCTTCTGCCTTGCTTGCTTGACTTCCAGCATTTGGAAATTGCATCCTGTGCCCTTAGACACAAAATTACCATCACTGAAGGTGAGATAGCAAAATGTGGAAGAATAATAACATATTATAAGAATAATATATATATATATATTCTCATATGTTTTGGTGTCTGTCAAAGACAGGATTTTAGAATATGTGGATCT